ATGGTTACCATTCTCATCTCAATGCAATCAAATGGCTTTGTGTGAATGGTTATATACATGTGTTCTTGAGGCTTATAAAGTTATTGGGAAAATAATATGCTTTACATTGGAAATATTCATGAATTTAAAAAAAAAAGTAAAATGGGTTTAATTGTTCTTTCTTATTATTATTGTTAAAAGTGTTTATGTGAACTTGTATGTTGCAATGATTAGCATGAATATGTTTTAGAAAATGAATGGTGGTTATGAATGGTAATTTGAAACTTGATTGTTGGAGAATAAAAAATTGTTTTGTTTTGAAAATACGATATGTATAGAAAAATAATAAATAGGGCTTGTAATTTCGAAAATGTGAAACTTATGTGTTTTAGAAATGTGAAATTGTGTATGTGTAAAGAAAGGTGTATGTTTTGAAAGATGATTTGTGAATGTAAGTGTTAAGAGTATAGTGTGATCTTTGAATAGTGAAGTGTACATTTTTGAAAGGTAAAATGTGTAAGTGTGAGAATGCTTAAATATGGGAATGTGGTGGAATTTGTGTATATTTTGAGAAAGGAAATTGTAAGGAGATAACAAAATATCAACTTCTCCTTGATCGTTGTAGGCAAACCCATGATCGATCTCAGGATCGGCCATGCACCAACGACAATGAGGTTGGGAGAGGAGGACGCCTTCTTCTCTTGGCTTCAAGTCTCATGAGCAAACTAGGGTTTCCCAAGAGATGGGATGCATGGGAAAGTGGGCGGCCAAAGTGGGGAGAAGAGGGAGGGGCGGTTTGGGTGAGGGCTTGGATTAAGTTAGAAAAGGGGAGAGGAAATTTAATCAAAATCTGAAATTAATTTCAGTTTTTTAAGTGGATTTGGCGGGATTTAATTTGATTTTTGAATTCAAATTAAGGTGGGATTGGGAGCTTTAATGGGAATTAATGGGGAAGCCACCAATAGGGGTTCGTCGGCATTGAGAGGAAGGAGGGGGTTGTGGGGGAGAGTTTTATGAGTTTCCAAAACAACACATGGGAATTAGGAAAGATATCATGAAATCCAATTTTATTTGAATTTCAAATAGACTTGAATTTATGCACTTTCCTAATTAAGATTTGCAAATAAGGAAAGTATTTAAAATTTGAATTTCAAATTTCAAATTGAGGTAATTACTTTTATTTTCTCTTAGAGCTAATTTAGAAAGGAAGAGATGATGATTGAAATCATCATAATGAAGGGTTTAATGGGTGGGCCGGCGGTGGGGTTTGAAGAATGGGTTTCGGCCGGCGGTTAGGAGGTATTGGCTGGCGGTGGGGATGGGTATTGGGTGGCGGGTGGGCTTGAAGTGGTGGAACTAGGGGAGGAATTGGGTGGAGGGGGCTAAGCAGCTGGTGGTAGAGGGGAAAGAAGGGGCCAGCGGGTGGAGTGGGGGAAGGAAGAAGAGAAGAACACAAATAAAATAGAAATAAACTAACCACGAGCCGTGGACCCCTCCAACGACTGGTGGGTATTGCGCTAGCCCTTACATCGGGCTCTCTCTTCTCTCTAGTGCACACACAAGATGAAGAAGACAAACATAAAATTTTCATTCAAATATTCATCATTAGAAAATAATACAAAGACTAGGCCTTCATATATAGGCCTCCAAAGCACAAAATATAAAAGACACAAATGCCCTCAGGCTACAACATGACACAAATCCCTCGAGTACAAATGAAAAACTGAAAATTAAATCAAAGAAATGCACTAAAACATCATAAATAAAGACTATGAATCTTAGCCGTCGATCAAATATCCAACCGATGTCGAAATGTACGGTGGATGTCCTCATCATGACCCTTATTTATTTTCCTAAAATGCAATCATCACATAAGCTAGAATCAACTGATTTCAAATTTGAAAATTTACCTTTAGAAAGAAGGATCTTTAGGTTCTTCTCACTCATGTGGCAAAATCTTTAACACCAAATATTAGTCTCTATAGTCAAACAAGTTGTAGCTCCCACTTTTTCAATATTTGTGGTAGTGTAGAGTGTACCAGTCTTATTTCCTCAAGTAATAACCACGGCTACTTTGGTCATTCTCTGGGCGTTAGCATTAAATGTGGTATTACATCCATGTATTGCAAACTATCCCATAAAGATCAAATTTCTACTCATGCAAGGAATGTATCTAACCTTACTTAGCTTCTATGTGACTCCATTTATAATTTAGAGTATATCATCATCAATTCCCACAATATCTAATGGTTGATCATTAGTCAAAATGAATTGATATAATTGCCTATATAGTAATTTGTTATTATTTTTTATGAGAAGAAGGATGGAATGATGCACTAAACTTTAGTCTCTTTGATTCCATTAGACTATCAACACTAAGAATCAATGTCTTCTATAGCAATATTTATGGTTTTTTTCTTTCTTTTGTGACCATCTTTCATCATGTCTTAGATTTTCACAATGCTAACATTCAGTTGAATGTCCTCGGGATTTGCTTATGTTATGATGTGTATTGGCTCTTTTTATACGAGGGAGAACTTTGGCTAAATATTCAAGAGAGCTATAAAGGCTTGAAGAATCATGAAGCTCCACTCGAGCACCACCTCCATCTAACCTTCGCCGCCTAACAATTGCCATGGACCTTCATCGCCCCAAAGCCATCGTTGGAGCACTGCCCAACCGTTATCATCGAACTGCCTCCATCCAACCTTCATTGCCTGACTGTTGTTACTGGACCACCGTCATACTCTCGTCGTCAAACCATTGTCGCACGATTACTTCCATCAGACTTTGGTTGTCCAACCGCATTTGGACTACCGCTTGATCAAACCTTCTTCGCCTAAAAATTATTGTTGGACCATTGCCCAATTGCCTCCATCATACCTTCACCGCAAGATTGCCGCCATCAAACCTTTGCCGCCCGACTATCACCATCTAATCTTTGTTGCCCAACCGTCATTGTCGAACCTTCGCTACCCATCGACATCGTTGAACCACAACTTGACCACCATCAAATAATCATTGTCTTCATCGTACGATCACAATTGTTGGACGACTGTTTGACTACCGTCGTCAGACCTTCGCCGCAAAACCATTGTTCAGAACTTTACCGCCCAACCATTGCCATTAGATCTCTAGCACCCAATCACTGCCTTCAAATTATTGTTGCCTGACCACCATAGGACTAACGCAGTTGGACCATCACAGAAAAGGTCCCTTCCACCTTTAATGGCTACCGACATCGTCAGACAACTACCCAAGCACAACCGTCAAATCATCTCAACTACAATTGTCTGAAAGCCTTTCACCCAATAAAAATTCTGTCATATTTTCTACCAATTCTTCATACTCTTGTAATTTTGCCATCTCCAAGTTAAAAATGGGTAAACATTTGTTACCAGCACTCACATAGTGAAATAATTTAGCTAGGTCAGGCCACATGGTTTTTCCCCTTTTCGATTTTCTACAAAAAAAATTTGGAATCACTCATGCTATTTTCATTTATTTATTTGTATGCTGGATATTCATACAAATCTAGGACTTAAAACTCTCTTATTCTATTGTTGTGACAGATCTAGCCCATGATAGTAATGAAGCCAATGAATGCAAGTAATTATCAAAACTATAACTTTTTTTTGGAAAAATATGCAATAATTCATTATAAAGAATTTTTAGAAATGAAAAGAAGACTAAAACCACTTGATCAAAATCCAAAAATTCTTCTCCTTGTAACAATCAATGCACATCCAGTATCATTGCTTAGCTCCATAGCCCTCCAAGGTCTTTAGCAAATACCTTGTTTTAGGAGGTTCAATCTTCTATCAAAGTGAGAAAGATGCCATAAACAAAAGAATCGACATCCGATTGACTCATTTTACTTCAATATTTATCAATTTTTTAATCATAAGGATACCTTTTCTCATAGATATTTAGAGCACAACTACCTTATCAATCCCATGGTTCATTTGGAAAATATATATATACCCTTTTGTCAAGCTTGCTTCTTTCTTAATCAAATTGACTTAAGAAGAAGAATTTTTATCTGTTATGGAAATTCCATTTCTTTCCTATAAATGTAAATACCTATGGCCTCCTTATAGAATAACCTTATGACCCTTTCACAACAAGTCATAGGTTTTACACATAAGCCGGAAACAATGAACTAGCCATTTATTTATCTATTGGTTGCCTAATATTCAGTAGTGTACATGGGAACCTCAACTAACATGGGCATTTATTAAAAAAGGATACTTGCCGGTTGTTATGAGCAAAAGAGCTAGTACCTTGTGAAAAGGATATATAAGATGTGGAGATCATAGCTCAAAAAATATAATAAGGTGGATGCTACTGATGAGGATCCACAACTCTATAGATTAATGATTTAATAAAGTGAGTATATTAGGGATTATTAACCGCAAAGGGTTATTTGCACACCCCCACACATACACAAGCATAAAAAAAGTATTACTACACAAACCTAACAAAGCTCTACCCATAAGTCCATGAACATAATGTGCTTAAAACATGAACAAAATCTGCATCTCACATTGCATATATGTCAATTTCTATACAAGGAGAAGCATTTTTTTAACAAGATAAATGTATTTTGGGAATCCTATTTATTGATTCCAGAAATTTCATAGGCAACGAATATAGTTACATTTTGCAAGCTGAAAGATAGTTATTAGGTCCATCTACTATCATAGGTCTAAAAAAACCACAAACAGCTTAGGCATTTCATCAAACATCTTGAGTGCTAGATTCAAGCTGTCAGAAAATGAGCTCAAAAACCTGGCTAACGTTTTAAACGTGATTCTCCGCTTACAGTCTTAGAAAGCACACCGGCTAATTAATTGGTTAAAAAAGATCTTCCTAACTTATATTTGACCCATTATACGAGCCTGCCTTATCCTTTACACGCGGGGATTTGGATCATGACAATGTCTAATAAGGAAATTAATCATGCACTAATTCCAGCCACAACAAAGTTATTTGATCGATCGAGAGGAGAGAGACCGCACCGCAGATGCCATGAGAACGAGAGCTCTTGGCGATTCTAGAACGTCCGAGGCACCTCCAGGACTTGGGGTTTCGGGGCCTACTTGGCAATGATGAAGACGGAATCGAACTTAGTAAAGAGAAAGAAGGAGAATCGAAAACGTGAGAACTGACTTGAACTGCTGCTCTTATCGCCATGCTGCTCTCCCTTCGCAATGTCCTCTCCCATAGCAAATTAAAAACTGGATCGATGATTTACGGAGCAGTGTAACAGTAATTTTTTTATTAGGGCTGTTACATTGCTCAGCTTAACAGTAATTAGACTCACAATCAAGAGATTATTACTCGTGGAGTTTGGACCTAGAAAATCGTTCGATTTTGTGACTGTAAAAAATAAAAGTGTAGTGACGAAAAGTAATTGTACTTTTAATATGCTTTTATTGTTCTCAATCACACAACCGAATGATTTTTCGGGTCTGAACTCCGCACGTAATTAGAGGTACTGTGGCTCACTCAAAAGTCGAGAGGATTTCCAAGTGAAAAGACATTGAGCAATGCTAAGCGAATAAAGTGACATTTTCTTCCCCTCACTAATAATTAATATGATTGCACGTGCACAACGATTTAAATTATTGTAGTAATAATGTAACTAATCCCTCAAAAAACAGTTTTAATCAACTCTAATTTTGAGATAACATACAAATTGATAACTTTTAAAATTACATTCATTGATATTCGAACTCCGATTTTAATAAACATATTATTGAATTGAATGTATTGATGAAACAAACTCATTGACACTCTGAATGAGCTCAAATCAAGTAATTGAAGTATACTTGGAAGCTTCAGAATATTAATTGAAAGATGAAATGATGTCTAAATCATGTGCGCTTATATCAAATCAAGGGATCTATATAGATTGTTTGATGAAGTGTTTTGAATTATAGTTAAAATTCCCAAAAATGCGTCTAAAAAATGCTATAAATATTATCTAATTGTATACATGAGCGGGATTTAAGAGCTTAGAGAGATTCATAACTCTATTGCATTTTCGACGATCGTTGTCAAATACTACTATCATTAATCTCTATCACTACATTCAGACTTTTGTAATTCAACTATTGTTGCTTAAAAACTAATATGTACCTATATTATTGGGTTTTAGTATGCATATGGATACATAGTTTTATAATCCCTACAACAAGAATCAGATAATTATTCACAATTATGTATAATTTCATCTTCTTTAAATATGAGGAATGAATGATTCTTGTATCATCATTTATTTAGTTGATTTATTCAACAAGTTCATGCTAATTATTACCCTTCATGTGTTTTCATATAAAATTTCTAGTTTCTTAAAACTTTTATCCTAGTGTGTTGAAACTTTGTAAAAAACTAAGGTAATATATGCACACACTACCATTATAAATTTTCTGATATGTAACACATTGGTGTCATTTATGGGAAATCCTTCTTAACATTTTAGAACTATTTCCTCAATTGTTGGTGATAAATCTCTCAATTAGATGTGTCAATATTTGACACGACCCAAAACCCGACTCAAACTCGAACAAAAAATTTTGGGTTCAGATTAACCTATTTGGGAAACGTGTCAAATTTGAGTATCAAATCCTGACCTGATTACAAATTCAGGTAGGGTTGGGTTAACCCGAGGGTTGGGTTAACCCGAAACCCAAAATCAACTAAAAACTAACCTGAGTCCATGTCCAAAACTTCACCGCAACCCTACCTTTCCCTCGCCTGCCACACTCCTCTACTTGCGCTCATAAATTAGCACCTGCCATACCTCACTCTCTGGCCTTGCCCGTGCTCGCAGCCTTCCACCTTTGCTCGTCTGCCTCATTCTTGTGACCCACACTCGCAAAACCCTTGTGCCCACACTCATGCTTGCACCCTGCTCGCATCTTTAGGTTAGAAGATTGGGTTAACTTGAAAATCTGATGGATCGGGTCTGGGTCTGAATTTCTAACTTGTTTGCCTAGTCTAGTCAGGTTCAAGTTAAAGTAGCTAGAGGAGAGTTAGTTTTGGGTTATACCCGAATTCGACCTGAAAATCTATTTTGACACCCCTACCCTAAATCAAGGATATCATAATATAGGTAGTGAATATCCCTCAACCTCCGATTTAGAGGATTATATGTTTTGGATTGAAGAACCTCAAGTTCAAATCACATAACTTCTTAAAGATGGCTGAATAATGAAGAGCACTATCACAAATATAAAATTTTGAATTTCTGTTTGAACTAGAGTGCTTTGGCACTATGCTTGCGAGAGCTACGACATTAGGCTTAATTACACAGCTGCGCCAGAGTTTGTCGTTGTAGTATTTGAGTTTTTGTTTTACAATACTTTGAATTCAACATGTGATACTATGGCATTCGGTTGGAGCATTGCAACTCTAGGCCACTGACACGGTTTATGTTTTTTTTTATCAATCCTAAGCATCAAAGCTCTAGCACGGCCACTTCCTCACCCACTTTGGTGGCTTGCTGTGGAAGAAGAGAGAAAAATGAAGAGGGAGAGGAGAGAGGGAAGAGAGATAAGGCTAGTTATTGGTCATTTTCGTCCATCTATTTTGTTATTAAAAGTCTTTTGATCTTTTTAAGTAACTTGAATCTCACTTTAGTTTTCAATGATTTAACAAATATAATCTCTCATAAATCTATACAAAATATATTTCTCCTAATTTATTACACTTTTACCATGCTATTTTTGTAAATAATATATACAAACTTTATGGACATTTTAACTGTAATATTATTGAATTTCACCAGTAATAATAAAAGTTATGGTTTTCTAAAGCTATCGATTATCATACAAATTTTTATGTATTTATAGATTTCTGCATTTTATATTGGATTTCATGCATAAAAAGGAGATAGATACAACTGATATGAAATAAATATAGTATATTTGCATGTAAGTAAAGAATGCTGTCTAGTAAAATTATAATTAATTTGGGTTATCTCTTAAAATATAATATCCTACATAGAAGGGTGGGCCAATGAACTTTTTTTAAAAATGGTTTGAGGTGATATCCTGTTTGTAGCATATAATTAATGACTCATTACACTAACAGGTAGAGGGTAAAGACTCTTAATGATTTATTAAAAGTAACCTAAAATGATAAAGATGTTATAATGATAAGGATAATGGTAAATAGTTAAATACATATGAAGGAATGAAAATACCTTATTAAAACTGGATGTCATGCCTTATTGAACCATATACTAAATTATATATTGATGCAATTCATACATTAATAATATTTATGACATTGAGCATGGATAACATTGATAGCACTTGTAGATAAATAGAGAAATGTGTGTGCAATACATGTATTAATTTCATAAGAATAAATAATTGATAAGATGTTTAAGGCTAATGACCTTGATGATTCGATACCTGCATGTTTGCGCTATAGTATTGATTTCTTAGTTGCTGATTTATTGATTTCTGATGTATATATATTATCACACATGTTATTGATCATATTGAATTATACAAGTGATGATTGAGGATTGATGATATTGAACACTACTAATTCTATTGATTGAGATGAGCATGTATATTGATTTTTTAGATCTTATATGGATAGCTTTAGTAAGTTTTGGGTTTCTACTAGGCTTTGTAAGCTCATTATGTTGTTTTACTGATTTCGGGTCAAGGAAGGAGTCATGACTATATGGAGTGGGTGAAACTCCATAAATAAATAAATAAATAAAACTAAACTCTTCAACAATAAAGCACATTTTAGTATACTAATTGGAATTTTATTAAATAAACTTTGTATTTAAGTGTGCTCTTTATCGAGAAATCCTAAGATGGGTCACCTCATGGGAAGTTACACCAACATAAAAAAAATATGAGGCCCTTAAGCAGTGGCAAATCCAGCCCTTTTTTTCAGGGTGGGCAAAGTTGATATAGAAAAAAATAAATACAAAAAATATAGGTATATTTCACTAGCAAAATTCAAAGCAAAGCATTGTATTACATCATGATTTATGAAATTAAAAAGAAAATTACAAACTTTGCATTCTACTTTACATTTTTTGATAATGTTGCATAATTGCTTCATTTGGAACAGAATCAAATATTTCTTTCTCAATATAAGGAACTAGACAGTTATTGAGCCAAACATCACTCATTTTGCTACGCAGCCGATGCTTAATGATCTTCATTGCAGAAAATGCTCTCTCCACCGTAGCAGTAGCAACTGGTAACGTCAATGTCAAAATAATAAGTTTATAAACTAGGGTATAAACAATATTTTTTTTATCCTTTACCATCTGTTTTGCTAGAGCAGCAATGCTAGTTAAAGATGTAAACTCCTCACTAGTACGCATATCAACAATATAAGTAGATAATTGATGCTCAAGAGACACAAGATCAATCACAGAGA